GGCAGGGCACTGCTAATGATCCGAGAGGCATTGACGTATGGAAAAAACGCGGGAACAGGACCACCACACCCTCTCGTTAATGCACGTGGGTTTGCGCTAAATTCCAGGAAGCCTTGATATTCTCTGGGTATAATTCTCACTCAAACCTTGGCCAGAACTCTAAAATTAACGCTAACCCTAATCTTAACCAGTCGCCTATCTTAGTTCCATTCATAACCGTAAAAATGATATATATGTTCTTTAAAAGTAGTGCAAGGTCTCGACATATGCGGGGAGGAGGGTTTCCAGTCACATGCCTTGCTGAAATATGTTCTATTTATGAGGCCATTATAAACATTAATCTATATTCTTCATAGGTGAATAAACTCTGATGCAAGGTTTTTTTTAAACATTTAGTTAGGCTTAACTGACTGCTTATTCATGCCGTAAATTTTATCTGGTACGCAACCAGTCATTCGAGAAAGCCCGGGTAATTCAATTCGATGTGCTCTGGTTATTTCTAAGAAAAGTGAAGTTGCAAAAGCTTTGTCGGAGTTCTAGAACAGAGTCTGAAACAACGGTTCTGAGTCGAACGTGTCCGAAGTTTAAAATATATATACTTGACTACTTCTCCGCGCGTACTTCACCAGTAAAGACAACTAGGTTCGGGGTGACCGTCTCTAACCTTCAGAATTTGTCGAGAGTGTGAAAAAATTGACTATCCTCAGCTCTGAACATACGGCGGCGAGTGATGCCTTGAAGGCGAACATGTAGGAACGTCAGCGTGTTCTGGCGTTCCGAACAAAGAGGAAGTATCAAAAAATGAAACGAACTTTGCGTTCACTGCGGACATTCTCGAAGGCGAGTAGGCTTAAATAATTCCCACCAAAATGGTGGCCAACAAGTCAAGTTTTTATTCGCTTGTCACTTTACCTAGGACAGCCGGCTTCAAATATTTTATACATTGAAAGCCGTTTACTACTGCCCCTGTATGATATTCCTCCGCTGTTTCGTGAAGTATGCCGCGCGTTTAAATCAACAGATTTTGTGGACAAACAGAGACAGGGACATAAGCATGGCCATTTCTGCCTTATTTTCTATCGTTTACCAGCAGAAGTCTAAGTCCGGACTGCTCACCCGAGATTCCAAATCGAGTCAGTTGACCACCGGTTGATACCCTCGTGCCAAGTCGGCTTAGATTCTAACATGGAAAAGGCGTGCAGTAACCGTTCCAGTCATTGACTGCGAACAGGCCGCAAATGGCTATTCCAGTCTCTACTTCTGTTACAATATTAACTGGTAAGATGTGATAACAGGTCTGCAGGTTGACTTGCGCTAAAATCCAGGAAAAACTTCCACTCCCGTATTTTTACCCTAAGTCCAAAATATATCCGCACCCATACCCTGACTTTACCTCTAACCCTAAGTCAAACCTTAACCACAATCAAAATACAATACTACGGACGTGAGGGGGGGGGAGAGACGGGGTTCGTTTCCCGTGTCTTATCCAAAAACGGTTTGATTACTCAGTGCTAGTCACACTGAGACCACATGCATGGGCTGTAGACCTTCCCCTCCCAGCCAACGGAGACATGCGCATTCTTGTTCTGCAATCCAGACAGATCGGTACAGGCCACTTTCAAGTTTGCAAACCCGCCAGGTCTGGTGACCTTTGTAGCTAGAGGATTCAGACACAGTAGGTGACTTAACTCATGCAAAGTCCTGATCGAAATTCAAGTTGGTAGTTTAGCGTACATCACGTCTTGTTATTCTGATCTGTTGAGTGGATTTGATGCTTAGAAAGCCTTTCAGCAGAAAAAAAACTGCTTTATGATTTTATAAAACAAACCACCATTGAAAACTAAGTGGTCTCTATGTCCTCCCGACTAGCAGCAATTTTACACACTAAAGGAAGTTCAACAAAATATTAGTACTACGTTGTGTGTATTGTGTTTCACAATCTTGTCGTGAGATCTTATTTTCCTTCACTGCTGTCAGTTATATTAGGCCTTAACTAATTTACGTGTCAAGGGGTCGTTTTGTTATTTGAAGATCTTCGATAAGAGAAATTAGTTCTTAGTGAATAAGTGATAGTTTATAAATCAAAATATGCCTTCTTTTTAAGATCGGTAGTTTCTTAGCACAGTATACCCTGTGAGGGCACGGACTAAAGGTTTTTCTCGATACGAAAATGTTCGTGCAACTTCCGTGGTTTTGTATCAGACAGGCCCCGAACTGTATGCTTGCCTGCCTAATATCAAATGCTTGGCCCCTCAGGTAGATATTGTACTTGGTGTTTTTGAGTATGGTAATGATTACCAGCTTGGCGTCATGTGATGCATTTTATTTTCCTGGTCTAAGCATCCAGACGCAGCCGAACCTTTAACTAAGACAAACTGTCGAAAGTAGGAGAAAGTTAACTGTGTGATGGTCTTATAAGAAAGCTGAGGGCGGACGTAGTTTATGTAATGCACCTCATATACCCCTAGTCACAGCATTTTGTCCCTTGTAAACGGTGATTATAGGGCTTTTGGGGTGGGGAAATTGGATAGACAGGGAAGAAAATTTTTAGAAGAAAATGGAAAGGAAAAAATGTAGTCGAAGTGGTTTCCCGCGGCTGCTGGTAGTAAGTCGTTCCGCATGTAAATTGAAGGTGTGCGTGGCGCTTCGCACCGCAGGCTATACTAATCTACCACCAGAACGGTAAGTTTAACCTCAGGTAAGTTTTTTCAGGTAAGTCTATTTTCAGGAATTTCAAGAAACCTGCAATTTGATAATCGGGTCTTTCCGCAATACGTTAAACGATAATAAAAATTAGGAAAATCTACAGATATAAATCAACAACATTTCTAAATACAATAAAATAGAAATGCATATAGCAGTTATTAAAGTATATTCCGCTGCGTATCCCAATCCCCACCCATAAAACCCTATGACCACCGTTTTCGTAGGACAAAAATGCTGTGACTAGGGATTAATGAAGTGCACTTTATAAACTACTGTTGCCCTAACTGAGTAAGTTGGCTCGGCACTAGGAAACGCGTCCTTTTTTGGAATGCGACGGATTCTATCAAAACAGTTTGACCATTTTAATTTTCAGAACAGTTTTTTGACCGCGTATGAATTTCACGGATAAATTAGTCTGTAACCGACACCACAAGAATACTTGTGGCGGGGGCGAGCAAAACCCAAATGCCCTTCTGGGTAATAGTGCTGAAAATTCGATTCCCAGGTGGTAAATCCGGGTATTATGCCTGGCATAAAAACGCGAACGAGCTGGACGGTGTAAGGGACACCTTTGAGGATATGTACGCTTTGTTTGTGGCTTTGCCAAAAACTAATAAACTGAGAAATCTTCCTGACTTCGGTGCGTCAGTTCAAAGAGAGAGTGCCACTTAGGAGGGCGTACTGCTTGACTACGACACTAAAATAACAGCGAGCTTCTATTGTGGAAGAGCTGTGTAGGGCACGACGTACTGGTGCATCTCACCACCTTTAGCATTCCTAACAACTGAAATAAAACAGAAATTTGTTACTTAAATCAATGTGGCGTACTAGTGACGGAAAGAAATTCTGTTCTCCGAGTTTAGTTTAATAGCAGGCTAATTGTCTCCGTAATAACGCTGCAGATTCAACGACGGGGATGGTTTCAGGAAATACATAATCAACAAATGAACGGAATAATACACTGCAAGGCTTAAGGGGGTTGTGATCTCACCAATAAGACAAACGTCAGTATGACACAGATGGAGGAGCCTAAAGAAAACTAACTAGCCCATTGTTACAGGTATCCTGAGGTGCGTACACGGACAACGAAAGTACTGGTTTAGCGACATCGATGAAGAACCCTAGCAACTGGTTCTTGGGCAGACCCAGAGCTAACAGGAGCAAAACCGTGTTCTCCCGAGGACGAGGATAATAATAAAAGAGGTTGCCTACGAAGCAAAACAATAAGCCTCTTCTCATGGCAAGAAAATAACATAAATACGCTTACCGTGGGAGAATGAAAGTCGCCTCCACAGAAACATATGCAGTTTAATGTCCTTAAACTAGCAGATGTTTGCGCAAGTATGAGGCAACAATCGAGGAGGAACAAGCCAAATACTAGCAGATGTACACAGCTGTCCAGCTTAGAAGAGGAAAACACTTTTTGTCGGAATAAATGGCAGATGCCACGGAATATGGCTTAATGCGCCTTGTGTGTTCTTAACCATCTTATTAATTTCCCAAAAGAAACCATGAAGGGAGCCCCTCAAACTGCGACCAAGTCTGATCGTTACGTCCCAAACTCACTGCGCGAAACAATCTTAATGCTTGAAAAAGATGTTAGTTGGATACGT